TGCTTTATTTCCTTTCCTATGTCATGTCTCTAGGATCAAGATGTTAGTTGATACTATCTGTAAATGTAACTTCAATGAATCAGGTTTCTATCTATTTGATACTTACTTTATCTGGCTAGAAATTTATAAAAGATATCAGAGAACACATACCGTCTTTACAAGAACACGAACTGTCTCTGTAAAAGTAACAAGAATTGGTCACCAGTAGTCTTTACAAGAACACGAACCGTCTCTGTAATGGTGAAACCGAGTTCTGTCCCGGACGACAATCTCTCTGGCATACACCTTTGAGGCTAATTTCATAAAAGCATGACAATCCTCACAAATCCGAAGGTTCTTTGTAATGCAAATGCGTGACCCTTCATTCATAAGGGCATAGCACAATGCCAGTTTCTCACTGTGCCAGAGGACTAATTCCTTCTTTTCCTCTTCGTCTAAATCAACGAGCACACAGTTAGTCTGTGGTGTATAACCAGCCAGCTTCAACTTCTGAACTACCTCATTTAACTTGTGATATATTAGATCAGCTTGCTTGTGTTTTCTATCTGCCATTTGAAATTCATGCACCTCATTGTTCAATTCAATTCTACTGCATCCTCTCTCCTTTGAAACGCCCATCTCGTTCATAAGTTTTCTAACCTCCCCAGCGTCTTCCCATCTTCTTTCTTTAGCATATATGTTCGATAAGACAACAAGGGCGCCATCGTGATCCGGCTCGAGCTTGAGAACTTGTTTAGCGGCAAATTCTCCCAACTCAGTGTCACTATGGAGCTGACAAGCAGCCATAAGGGATCCCCAAATAATAGCATTAGGAGCAAATGGCATTGCTTCTACCACCTCAAGAGCTTCTCTCAGCAATTTTGCACGGCCAAAGAGGTCAACCATGCAACCAAAATGTTCGTGCTTGGGACTTATGCCATACTCATTGATCATCGAGTGGAATATTCTTTGGCCCTCCTTAACTAGACCTCCATGGCTACAAGCATAAAGCAACCCCACAAATGTGATCCAATTAGGCTCAACGTTTTCAACTTTCATTTGATGGAATAGACTTAAGGCATTGTGAGCATCTCCATGCATTGCAAGAGCATTAATCATACTCGTCCAAGATATAACATTTTTCTTTGGCATCTTTCCAAAGATTTCTCTCGCTCCTTCTAGACTCCCACATTTGGCATACATATCAATGAGTGCATTATTGATAGACAATGCCTTGCCGAACCCATTTTTATCAACATAAATTTGGATCCATTTGGCTTGATCTAATGCACCAAGATGAGCACAAGCTGAGATGACACTCAACATGGTGACTACATCAGGTTTCATTCCCATTTGTTGCATTTTCTTGAACAGTACAAGAGCCTCTTGAGGGCAATCACTCTCAGTATATCCAGAAATCATTGCACTCCAACATATCAAGTCCTTCTCCACCATTTGATCAAACACATAGCGAGCATCACCAATCTGTCCACCTTTTGCAAGCCCAGAAACCATGGCAGTCGAAATAACCATGTTCTTAGGGGATATCTTTTCATACAGATCCCAAGCCAAGTCCGTGGAGCCATAACTTGCATACATCTTGATGAGAGCACTTTGTAAGTGAGGATCCATGACAATATTCTTCTTAGTTATGAACTCGTGTATTTTTGTTCCAAAATCCAAATTTCCAGCTCGGGCGCAGGCAGAAAGAATAGTTGAAAGAATCATTTCATCTGGTTCCAAGCCTGTTCTCTTCATTTCTTCAAAGAGTTGAAAGGCCAGATCATAATAACCACTTAAGCAATACCTGAATATTTGAGGGTAAGGAGAAAATGACCATGAATTCAAAATCATAAGATAGAAAGATACAACCATAACAATGCAAGGAAGCGTATAATTAACAGAATTCTACCACATCCATCGTCACTACTAAATGCAGAGCAACAACATCAGTTTCATACCCATCAATCATGATGCTCCAAGTGACGACATCCCTCTGAGACATTTTATCAAACACCAACCGGGCTTCCATTATCCTTCTACAGGCAGCATACATTCTAATCAACCCCGTCTCCACAAATGGGTCTGAACCAAATCCCAGCTTCGACGCGAGTCCATGAATCTCCATCCCAGTTCTCAAGGAAAGATTCCGCGAAGCCGCTTTTAACAGGGGTGGGAAGCAGAACCTATCCAAACTCAGACCCTCAGCCCTCATCTTCTCGTATACAAAAAGCGCATTCTCTGGCTCAGAACCTCGAGATAATTCACGCAGAAGCTTGTTGCAGAAACGGGTCTTGGGCTCAGGAATTTGATCGAACACAGAGAGGGCATAGTCGAGGCTGGGCGAGAGAGCACAAGAGGAAAGAATCAGTTTGAAAAGAAGGGAATCGGAATCGGAGCGTTCGAATTTGGAGCGGAGGATTTGAGCGTGGACTTGTTTGATGTGGAGGAGGCTGGTGGCGGAGGAGAGAGCGGCGGAGAGAGCGTTGGGTCTGGTGGGGTATGGGGGAAGTTGAAGAGGCAGGATGGAGGTTGTGTGGCTGAGCGTTTCCATTGCATTTAGGTTAATTAGAAGTTGAAGATGAAGAGATATTGAGTTTGGAGTGGTTTACAGGTCGCCGCCATTGAAGGAAGCTAGAAAGCAAAGCAGAGAAATGGCGGCGGTTTGGAGGGAAATATCAGGATTTTAATTATCTAATATAAATATTTTAAAAGTAAATTTAATAATCTAAAATATTTGTTCCATAAATAAAATCTATATAATAATTTAATAGAGATAAAAAATTGGCGCGGAATATTTGTTATTATCTAATTAATTTTTTTAAAATATATATTAAAACTCCTATTTTTAATTTATTATATATAAAATTGAAAATTAGAACGATCCAACAAACCAGGGCCATTTTTTTTCTAATTTTTTTTGCTTCTTTGCATTTCAGGTCTCACTCGCTCCGTTCAATCGTCGTGTCTGGTGATCGGAGCTCCGCCATGGGTGAAGCTTTATTTGAACTTGAACAAGTTCTCAGGTCCAAACAGGTATTTCATTTTCTTCTCGCCTTCGCTTTCTCTTCCATTCCGTAATTTTTACCTCATCAAACTCACCTAAGTTCCTCTACGCTTTATATTCAAGTTTGTTTTAGAATGATTGTTGTCGAGGATCCAAAGAGAACCTCGACGAATCTGTTTTTTTTTTTTTTCATTTTATCTTGTTTTGATTTGATAAGTTCCGAGCTCATTTTTGGCATTGACTGGTCTTCTGATGGAACTGTTGAACCAATTTTGGTTCGAGCTGAGAATTGCGTTAATATGTAGCACGTCGGTTGATTGGAATGCAAAATACGATTTCGTTTAACTTAATTTTTTCTACTCTGTGGAGAATATGTTCAGCAAGGAATACATTGGTACGAGGCTTTTGAAAAACTAAAAACAAAACCATGAGAGTTTATGTTCAAAGTGGATAATATCATACCATTGTGGTGGAGGCGGTGGTTTCTAACATGGTATCAGAGTCATGCCCTTAACTTTATAATGTCAATAGAATCCTCAAGTGTCGAACAAAGAAATTGCTAACGTCGAAAGTGTAGTCAAAAGTGACTCAAGTGTCAAACAAATGGTGTACTTTGTTCGAGAGCTCTAGAGAAAGGAATCGAGCCTCAATTAAGGGGAGACTATTTAAGGACTACATAGGTCTCAAGGAGGCTCTATGAGTGTACTTTGTTTGAGGGGAGGATTGTTGAGCATTGTTGAGAGGGAGTCCCACGTTAACTAATTAAGAGGATGATTATAGTTTATAAGTAAGGTCTCCATTAGTATGATGTGAAAACCAAAAGCAAAGTCATGAGAGCTTATGCTCAAAATAGACAAGATCATATCATTGTGGAGGACGTCACAACAAAGAACGGAGGAAGGGACTTTGCACCAAACGTGCAAGTCTAAGGCTGTCTGAGATTTTACATTCGGAGCTCTCGTTGGAGGTAGTGTGACATGGGTAGGTATGTTGTAAAATGCGGCAGAGTTCATCTTCCTTCCATGCCAGTGAGAGCTTTTTAATTTTGAATTTTAATGCGTTTTTTTCTCCTAGGACTGCTTAGCTAGACCATCTCGTTTTTCATAATCATATTGCACAATTTATTTATTAGCTTCGAGGAATATTTTTAACAATATTCAAATTTCTCTTGCTCTCTTTAGCATTCTTAGTTTCGATCTTACACATTGAATTTATTCGCTTATGCTCATGTGCTAATTATCTTCACGTGTAAGTACAATAATTCAGTTCCTGTCCCCATCTGATTAATACTTATAGTTTCTCTTATTTAGTTTGAAGAATAATTGTGTGCATCCCTCGATTTTAAATCATGCGGTTTTCTTCATCATTACATAATCGGGCATCAACTTGGGTAGAACTAGTCTTACTGTTATAATTTTAATATGGATAATTGATGCCGGAATTTGGATTCAAAATTTGGAAATCCAAATATCAAGAAACGTGTTCCCCCGTACTTGTGAACTGCAACTCATCAATATAGCATGATCTCAGGCATTGTAATTATAAATTTCCTGGAATTGAGAACGGTTTACCAGAGACGTAGGGAAGTCTTCTCCAAGTTCTCAACAAGTTGGCCTTGCACCAAAACAAATTAAATGTAGTGTATTCAAATGGAATGATTCACTGAGATTCAGGTGTTATGTTACCATTTTGGTCAAACGAGCTTTTCTTATGTTAAAAGATGGACATATCGCATATGTCGGTGGCAAAGGTTCATACTTGATAAGAATTTGAACATCCAAGTTGAAATAAAAGCAATTGCTTGTTTTCTCATTACACTAAAGTAAATCGTTGCTGGGACACTGTTTTTTTCTTATCATTTTGTCTGATTTGAACTTTTGCTATATGCAGACTAAGCTAGGCACCGAGGCTATTGCAGACCCTCTGGATTGTATTTTCGGTTCACTGGCCAGAGAAGAAGAAATCCAACATTTGAGTTAGAAAACACTGAACTCAAAAGTGGTATTATGATTTTTTCAAAAGACATCGTATTAAAAAATGTATTCTTTACTTATAAATTCATGATAACCTTCGATTAGCCAACGTAGGATTGTATTCCTCACTTATAAATTCATGATAATCCTTGATTAACCAACGTAGGATTTCTTCCCAACAATCCTCAACATAGCACATCACGTAAATCTCAGTCTAGTAGTATAAGATATCATCGTCAGCATCCAAAGCTTTGAACATGTGTAATTCCAGGTTCAATTCAATAAAAGAAGAGATTAAGCAATCCTGAACCATTTATTATGTTTATAACGTCCATATCCATAGTGCAGTGTTGTCATTTCCCTAGCACAAGAAAGAAAAGTGGTCTATAATCGTTTCCATATGGTTTAATGCTGCCTATTCTTTGGTGAATTAATGGCCAAGGTACTCAAAGAAGCCACAGCCATCCATAGTGCACGGTCCAACGTAGCACTTACAGAGACGATGGTCATGAGGCAGTAGCTTTGGTGGTTGTTGAGAAGGGACAGCGAAATTTCGAGAACGCGTAGTGGTTAAAGGTTGGAAACTCCCGTCCCTTTTCCAGTTACTCAATTTTCTAACATCCTCGGAGTATTTGTGGGGAAAATCTTTGTTTTTTCAGACCGCGTGGCGTGTGGAAAACCCTACACAAGCAAGACGGCTAGGAACACACGTCAAGAGAGATGGTAATGCCTCTTGCCATCACTTTTAATCCTATAATAACTAACTACAAACTTCACATTTTGTCTTTTTTACATTAATATGAGGTTCTCTCCCTTCTTTTTTATGGTTGCGATTAAAAGCTGGAAACACTTTACTTGGAAAAATGATTTCACGAAACTGGCTTGTTCCTGAATCATGGTCAAACTTACATTAAAAATTTTCATGCTCTCCAATAACCACCTGATACAAACTCATTATTTTATTTTATTTTTTATTTTAGTTTCTCTATGCTGCATTCTCTCGCCATTTCTCTCCAATGGTACGTATCTCGACTTTGATCCTAAACTCTTATGACTTTATTTTTTATTTCCTGAAACGTCTTGTATCAATGAAGATGTATTCTTTACTTATAAATTCATTATCATCCTCTAAATTAGCCAACGCGGACTCCTCCTCGTCCCTACTTATTTTGTTTTGTTAGTACCCATCCATTTTGATCTTCCTACTGTGAGGTGAAATTATTTGTTGGGTGTTGGTTTTCACAGAATTTCGGTGAGAGGAAATTGAGAAAATGCGTAACAAAAAGGAGAGAGAAAAATAACTCTGACTGCGTTCAGGTTGTTTTATTTGTTCAGAACAAACTCCTATTTAAAGTAAAAAAGAATTCTAAAATTGGCTGGAGAGTGGCCAACTAAATCTGTGCCACTCCCTTCTAAAACTCTGGTGATCCATTCGACGTGATTTGTCGAATGGTCAAACTCACGATTTTCTGAAATCGTGTGAATAAGAAAAACGGTAAAACTCAGGTTTTATCTAACAATCTCCTCCTAAAACCTGTAGTATATCTACCTTACTATTTGAACTCCGATCTTTGAGCGTAGTTCTTCAAATTTCACCCGCGCCAGGGACTTGGTGAAGATGTCTCCAAGTTGTTCCTCTGTTCGGATGTAATCAATTTTGATGACCCATTTGAGCCCTATGGCTTGGTGTCCCGGCGGCATATCCTCCAGACTCCACGTCTGATTTTTGGTGATGGATGTCATCTCCTCCTGCATTGCCTTCAGCCAGCACGGGTTCTTTTCTGCTTCGGCGAAGGTGTTCGGTTCATCTGCACTGATGACATGTAGTTCGGCCACTTCTTCGAGCTCGCGCACTGCCAGTCC